TGTTGAACGATCTAATCTGGATTTAGCGAATATTTGTAATTAAAAAAATTACATGTATCAATAAGGAAGAGAAACTGCAAACGAATAAATGAATCTAGTTTTGTTTTCTGATTTCTAAGACCTGTCTCTGATTAAGGTGGCTTTCTGTTGTTTACAGCACTGCTCGTTTATTGAATCAACACCACTATGAATACTTTTTTTATCTGTTTTTATGAAACATTGGTGTCAAATGAATTCCTATCTGATATATTTTGCATCTAATGACCAGCCATCTGACCTATTGTGCTACCATAGCAACGGTTTAGTCTGCAAAATTATCTCTGAGTTTTAATATCAGAAAATAATGGTCTCAAGAATCTCGATAGTCCCATTTTTTTGCCTACTATCTTGCAAAGTGTAAACATTTGACCAGGTATAATATCATGATTGTGGCAAGCCATGCATGAGGTCAGACATACTAACGTACGCTTCGTATCTGCCAGGAGGTACTTCTTCTACCTGAAGTCTACCTCGTCAAAAATTGCGTGTGAATTCTTAATTAAACGATGAGTTAAAAAATCGTTACAAAGGAGAAGAATATTTAATTATTAATTACGGAAGTTTAACACTGAAAACTCTGTTTGAAGTCAGTTTATTCTAAATGGATATAATGGGGCAACAAGAGGGACATTGTTTTTTAACATTATTCCCTGGCGGGTACGTGCTTTACCGAGATAACCACCTTCTTCAAATCATATTGAAAGCAATGGTATTCAAAGTTTCACTAAAATAAAAACGAACGATAAAGCACGACGTTTCGACCAAACTTCGTTCATTTTCAAGTGAATAGTAAGAATGTCTCGATGAATATATATATATATATATATATATATATATATATGCGTGAAAGGAGTGTAAAAGTTTTTGGAAGTGTACACTTGGACTCAACTCGTGAAAAGGTTTTTAATTAGCTTCTAATTATTCTCCTCTTTGTAGGTTCTTTTTCGTTAACACTTCCAAAACATTTTACATTTCTTTCACGCATATATATAGATATTCATCGAGATATACTTACTATTCATTTGAAAATGACCTGAGTTTGGTCGAAACGTCATGTTTTACTGTTCATTTTTATTGTCAAAAGTTTTACTATATCGCTATTGACATAATTAACTATGAATACTGGGACAAGAGCAAACCTCATTTACACTGTACAACTCAACACTGTCTTTTGAAAGAGTCATGGATGATTTCTTTGTTTCTTTCCAAGGTAGAAAGATATTCTCCCGCGGCTTTTGGAAGTGCAGCTGATTTCATGAGATAAGTATTGACCTGATATAAAATAAACGAATACAGATGTTGTTCAGTCTAAGTAAAACACTTAAAATATACACAAAGACTTAGTCCTACATTAAAGAGGAAAGAAAAATTTGTTTTGGACTCTGGAGTGTCTTTCTACAAGAGATGGGAGACCTAAGGCTGACTCACCATGGGGCATTGTCACCGTACAACCTCTTCCCTAGTCTTGATCTGTGATGCAAAGACTTGGTCCTCAAAAAATGGGGTAAGACTGTTTCGGACACTGGACTGTCTTTATGTGCTGATCGGATGTTTGACTTTGTACAAGAGATGGGAGACTTAAACCTGGCCCTTTAAAGGGTTGGTGTCACCCAAAAAGTCTCTTCCTTAGTCTTGGTCTGTGATGCAAAGACTTGGTCCCCAAAAAAGAGGATAAAACTGTTTCGGACACTGGACTGTCTTTACGTGCTGATCGGATGTTTGACTTTGTACAAGAGATGGGAGACTTAAAGCTGGCCCCTTAGGGGGTCGGTGTCACCCAAAAAGTCTCTTCCTTAGTCTTGGTCTGTGATGCAAAGACTTGGTCCCCAAAAAAGAGGATAAAACTGTTTCGGACACTGGACTGTCTTTATGTGCTGATCGGATGTTTGACTTTGTACAAGAGATGGAAGACTTAAACCTGGCCCTTTAAGGAGTTGGTGTCACCCAAAAAATCTCTTTCTTGGTCTTGATCTGTGATGCAAAGACTTGGTCCCCAAAAAAAGAGGATAAAACTGTTTCGGACACTGGACTGTCTTTACGTGCTGATCGGATGTTTGACTTTGTACAAGAGATGGGAGACTTAAAGCTGGCCCTTTGGAGTTGGTGTCACCCAAAAAATCTCTTTCTTGGTCTTGATCTATGATGCAAAGACTTGGTCCCCAAAAAAGAGGATAAAACTGTTTCGGATTCTGGACTGTTTGACTTTGTACAGGAGATGGGTGATTAAAAAAATCTAAGGAAAGATTGAAAGATAGCTCATTTTAGGTAATATTTCATACATTAAAACTTAAAAACAAGGAGGAAGAAAAAAATTAAGATTGTTTTTGGTTATTTTTTTTCACATACAGAATTCAAGGAAGAGTGGGAAATTCGATGTATATTTACGTCTTGCATTTCAGTGTGATTGAGACGGCCTCTATGAGATGTGCAATGCAAGTGGTTTGTTATCATTAGGAAGCTGGAGTCTTTTTTTTTTTCCAACTAATTCCATTAATGGATTGCATGTGCTTTAATATAAATCAAGGAGCATCGCCATCGTGTTTTTGAATCGTGTTTTCGCGGCACAAAATTTCAATTAATCTGAACGAAACTACAGAATTTAAATGAGAAAGGGTAAATAGACACCAAACATTCTGATTTGAAGAGATAGCCACAAACTAATTAAGAACAACAATGGCTAAAGAGAGTTTCGTTCAGTATTGTTTCATTAGTTATATACAATTTTCCTCTTTCAGGTACCGGGAAGGTAACAAGTTCAGAAATAATGCAATGGTAGACGAGTGGTAAGTGTAATTACAGTTCAAAGAAAACTTTTTTAAAGCAGACTCCTTCATGGAAATAGTTTTCGAAGTATTTGGATTGAATCCCTGTATCCCTCGTTTTTTTCTTCTTCCTGAGCAATTTCTCCAAGACACTTCAAATGAGGCCAAAATATTTCCTACTGTTAATTAGCGAGATAAAGATGGAGGTGTGTTGAATCTCAAGCGGTGGTCTAGCAATTAGCTTCTTTTGTGTCACATAAAAGTAAAAAAAAAATATTCAACCAGAACTATGTCTTAAATTACTATCATTTCGTTTTTTTTGTTTGTTTAGCTACGGAAAGATAATTTTAAGATAAAATGTGGACTTAGATTGCGGTGATTGTGACTGTTGTGACATGGTTGAACGGAAGCCTCTGTCATTCTTCATAATGGTCCATAAATTGTCTGTGAACTGTAAACTACTAGAACTACCTATTTGTTAATAGATAATAACCACGTGCCTTTCTCTTTCAGTCACCGTGATGTAAAAAAGAAGCTCAACGAGACGTGAATCCATGTTATACACTTAAACGAAGTGCAGTCTTTATAAAAGTATTTTATCTTATGTTAATAACATCCATTTTAAACGCATACGTTTTGTGTGACCAAACGTCATGGTGTTTTTTTCAAGGTTGATCTTTTCTCTGATGGGAGGACTTGTCAGTGATAGTGGCTGTGTGTACCATAACAAGTACTGTCAAAGAATTTTCGTCCTTCGTTTTTTACATAGGTTAGACCACCTCAATAAAGAAACCGAAGACAAATATCATCCTTGGTGAGGTGAATAGTAGACAGTGTTCTAAACTATTCGTAAGAGTTGTCTGCCTTACGGTACCAACATCTTTTAATTACACATATGTATTACGGCAGAGGCTTGGTGAGAAGGGGTTCTAAATCCTGTAAAATAAAATATTTGCAAAAGCTGTCTTCCTTGTGGTAATAACATCGTGTCATGCGCATGTGTGTTAAGAAAGACATTTGGTTGCACAAAACGCATATGTTTGAAATTAAATGTTACTACCACAAGGTAGACAACTTTTACAGAAGTAAGAAAACTGTTTGCAAGAGGTGGGTGTGGTGGGGGAGGTTGGATGGAGAAAAAAAAAACAACTGTCTCAACAACTGTCTCAAATTACTGTAATATTACTGTATTAAAAGATTGTAAGAAAGAGATGGTAATATTACTACTGTAATATATATACACATATATATAATATATATTATTATTATATATATATTACTACTGTAATATATATTAAAAGATTGTATTGTAATACTGTGCTGTAATATTAATTAAGTGTATTAAAAGATGCGTGAATCACAGGGTGGATGACTTCTCAAGAGCTAAGATTTTTTTTGGTTTCCTTCCAAGGTTAACTTAAGTACCGTCTAATAGGGGCGGGTGTGGTGGGGGATGGCTGACGGATTGAACCCCACTTTTTCACTTTACTATCTGAATTGGGGGTCGATCCGGTTTTTCTTTCTTTCTAAGATTGATATTTGGCTCTGGTCTTATGTTTAAGGTAATCTTGTTCCTTGGTATCCTGCTTTGGTTCCTTAGTATCCAGCTTTCTAAGATTGATATTTGGCTCTGGTCCTATGTTTAAGGTGATCGTGTTCCTTGCTATCCAGCTTTGGATGGTCGAACAAAACTGCAAAACAGGAAAATGAAATAATCAAGACCAAGAATTCGAGCCATAAAAATGTTAACTCCAAATTTTTTGCCTTCCTTTCCATGGTCTTTTGTATTTAAAATAAAATTGAAGATTAATAACGTCGAAGCTATCAAATTAAAAGTTCAAGATTTCCAAGAGAGATTAAAAATACTATTTACAATTACAGTCTTGGTTGACTTTCTAATTACTAGAATTACATGTTGAGGATTAAACAAAAATAATTGAAATTAGCGTATTCTCTATAATTTGGGTTTGACTACAAATTTCAAGAAGTTCACCTAAGCCAAACCTTGCAGTTATTTTGGACCTTTATGCAGTTCAGTTTTACTATGCCCTTAGACGGTTAAATCCTAATAATATCATTGAGATCTAACCAAAAGACTGCTTATGCAAGCAGTTTCAAGTAGTGAGAATGATAAACGATCAAAAGTAAGTAGATAGTAGTAGGCCTCCATCGGTCAGGGTCGACCATGGGTATAGCATCCTAATTGTGTGTTTGGCTGGAGCATCTGCGGCTATGACTGTGAAGGCCAATGCGTGAATGGCAGTCCCTGCCGCAAGTGCTGCACGTGTATGCTGTTTGTTGGACGTTGCTGATACGAAGTTTTCTGCGGGTCCGCCTCCTTGTGGCAGCTTGTGTCAGCTTCTCTTCTCCTGTTTTGAGGTGCCTTGTAACGGCTCCTCTCCATTGTGACCGATCAGCTGCGAGATTTTCCCAGGTCTCTGTGTCAATTCCTACAGCCTTCATGTCACGCTTCAAAGCATCTCGGTATCGCAGCTGTGGGCGTCCTCTGCGTCTACTTCCAGTGGCTAGCTCACCATACAGTAAGTCTTTGGGGATGCGGCCGTCTGGCATGCGATGAACGTGGCCCAGCCAGCGGAGTCTACGTTGCCTGAGTAAGGTTGACATGCTTGGCAGGCCCGCACGAGACAAGACCTCTGTGTTTGGGACTTTGTCTTGCCACGAAATTCCCAGGATGCGGCGGAGGCTTCTCATGTGGAAGGTGTTCAGGCGTTTTTCTTGTCTGGCGTACATCGTCCATGTCTCGCTGCCGTATAGCAGTGTACTGATGACACAAGCGCTGTATACTGCCATCTTGGTCTTCTCTGTGAGCATGGGGTTGGACCACACACGTGTAGTGAGGCGTGCAAGTGTGGCAGCCGCCTTTCCAATTCTCTGGTCGAGCTCGAAGTCTAAGGAGAGATTGTCAGTGACAGTGGAGCCTAGATACGTAAAATGATGGACCACTTCGAGCTCGTAATCGTCGATGGTAACGGATGGTGGTGTTTCTGTTCCTTGTTCCAGGACTTTAGTCTTTTTCAGGCTGATGGTAAGCCCAAAGTCTTTGCAGGCCTGAGAGAAATGGTCCATGAGTGACTGAAGTGCTTGCTGAGTATGGCAGGCTACTGCTGCATCGTCAGCAAATAGCATGTCTCTTATCAGGGCTTCACGCACTTTGGTCTTTGCTCGGAGACGGGCAAGATTGAAAAGCCTGCCATCTGATCTTGTATGCAGGTAGATCCCTTCTTTCGATGCGCCAAATGCATGTTTCAGAAGGAAGGCAAAGAAGATTCCGAAAAGGGTTGGGGCAAGTACGCAGCCCTGTTTGACACCGCTGTTGATGTTGAATGACTCAGAGGTTCTGCCGTTGAACTGCACAGTCCCCTGCATGTTGGCATGGAAGGACTCAATCAGGCTGTGTAGTTTAGGGGGGCAGCCAATTTTAGATAGAATTCTGAAGAGACCCTCTCTGCTTACAAGATCAAACGCCTTGGTCAGATCGATGAAGGCAATGTACAAAGGCATCTGCTGCTCTCTGCATTTCTCCTGAAGCTGGCGGAGGGAGAATACCATGTCTATCGTTGATCTTTCTGCTCGAAAGCCGCACTGTGACTCTGGATAGATACGTTCAGCCAGTTTCTGAAGTCTTACCAAAATAACCCGAGCAAAGACTTTGCCCACAACGCTGAGTAAGGAGATGCCCCTGTAGTTGTTGCAGTCACTGCGATCTCCCTTGTTTTTGTAGAGGGTAACGATCTTAGCATCCCTCATGTCTTGTGGTACGGCCCCTTCTTTCCAGCACGCACATAGGACATTATGTAAAGGCTGTAATAGTGTAGTCTTGCAGTGTTTGATCAGGTCAGGGGGATCCCGTCACTGCCTGGAGCTTTCCTTGAGGCCAAGCTGTTGATAGCCTTGCTGAGTTCGTCATTAGTGGGTTCGTTGTCAAGCTCTTCCATTACAGGTAAGCATTTTATGGCATCAAGGGCTGATGATGTTACTACATTCTGTCTTGAATAGAGATCAGAGTAGTGTTCCACCCATCTCTCCATCTGTTGTCCCTTGTCTGTGATGGCTTCCCCTGAGGTGGATTTAAGGGGAGCTGTCTTGTTCTGGATTGGACCTATTGATGTTTTGATGCCTTCATACATCCCTCTTATGTTCCCAGTAATTGCTGCAGTCTGGATGGCTTCGCTGAGTTCGGTCCAGTAGTCGTTGGCACAGCGTCTTGCAGTGTGTTTGACTTTGTTCCTTATAGCTCGGAGAATCTGAAGATTTTTCTCGCTGGGTAATCGCTTGTATTCCGTTAGAGCGGCACGCTTTGCTTCTATGATGGGGGTCATCACAGCGGATTTAGCTTTGAACCAGTCATGCGAATTCGAGGTACTTTTTCCAAAGGTGGCCAAGGCAGTGCGATGCATTGTATCCCGTAAGGTGGTCCACTTCTCAGTTGCGGAGTCCCCTGACTGTAATGTTGCTAGATGATTCTCAAACCTCTCAGCAAATTGCTCTTTAAGATCAGGCTGGCTCAACTTAATGACATCAATACGAGGGCTCCCTTTCTTCTTGCCACGGTGGAACCTTTTCGGATGGAGCCTGACCTTGCAACACACCAAGGAGTGGTCTGTGTCACAGTCCGCGCTGTGGTAAGAGCGTGTGTGGAGGACGTTCTTAATAGCGGTTCGTCTGACAAGGATAAGGTCCAGCTGATGCCACTGCTTTGAGCGCGGGTGTCTCCAAGAGACCTTGTGCTGAGGTTTGGTCTTGAAGAAAGAGTTGGCTATGCAGAGTTTGTGATAGGTGCATAGCTCGAGCAGTCTCTGGCCATTGTCGTTCATCTTGCCTATGCCAAACTTTCCAAGGCAAGAAGGCCATGATCTTTGATCAGCTCCTACTCTGGCGTTGAAGTCGCCCAGAAGGATAAGTTGTTCTTTGTTTGGGATGTTGCTGATCGTGGCTGTGAGCTGATCATAAAACTCGTCTTTAATTTCAGGTGTAGCAGAGAGTGTTGGAGCATACACGCTGACGAGAGTTACAGGGCCTGCCGTGGTGTTCAGGCAGAGAGTGAGGAGTCGCTCTGAGCCGCTGTTGCCTGGCTTTACCATGTTCAGCAGGTTGTTCTTCACTGCAAAGCCCACCCCATGCTGACGCGGTACATTGGGGCTTTTCCCCTGCCAGAAGAAGGTGTAGTCTTTCTCCTTCAGTCTTCCAGAGTCTGCAAGTCGTGTTTCTTGTAAGGTGGCAATGTCCACATTAAGCCTCCTAAGTTCGTCGTTAATGATGGCTGTTTTCCTGGAGTCGCTGACGTCCTGAAGGTCTTCTGAGAGGCCCGTCAGCATTGTTCTAACGTTCCAGCAGCCTAGTTTCAAGTAGATAGTATCCCACTGTCAAACTGAACGTCTAAATTGGTTTCTGTAAAATATAACCATGGACTCAGTAAAATGAAGAACTTTTAAACCTGTAATCAGTATACCATCATATCATCTTGTAACCTTCAATTCCAGTAGACATCATTGACCATTCTTCCATAACTGCAATCTTCAAATAAACCATTGTCCACTTGAAAGAGGCAGTTTCAGCAAAATTTATCTGCGGATGAAAACTAGTAAAATATTAAGTACTATACATCTAAAGTGAAAAAAACTTAAACTAGAAAATAAAGCAGAGTCAAAGTAAACGCCATTTCACTGCCAAAGTAAACTCTATGTCGCCAGTTTCCCCACCACCCCTCTAAAGAGGAGAGAATTCGCGTAATTCTATTCCAACCGAAAAGTAATGCTGATTATTGTGGCCCAAAAAACGATGATTATACATCACGAACACAGCACAATTATATGGGCATTACGTCACAAGGATAACTTTCCCAATGGCAAAGCAAGTAATGCAACACTTCCTTACCACACAGCTACAGGCCTTTACGACACATTTGATTCGTAAGAGCGAATAGGAACACAAAAACTGCTTAACTGTGGGATTCGTTTTGGTAAAAGATATTGCCGTTAACAGACTTGACTTCCCCGAAAGGCAGCTAACCTGTCTTCTATCTCAGTGCCCCCTCACCCCCTCCTCCGGAATAAACCATCAACAACTGAGTCCAGGAAAACAAACTTCCTTTGAGATAGATCTTCAAAACCCCTGAGCGAATCTATGTGCGACGTTGAACGGGGGCGGGGGCAATCAGGTTCCTACTACAATATTTATCAATCTAACCATGGCTTCTCTCCATGGAAGCGAGACAAACAACGGTTATCTTTGAAGACCTCTGAAGTTGAGAGGCAATCAGGATTAATACCTTCCCCCAATAGAGAAATAAAATGATAAAAACCCATGTTCACCCTTCAATCTATTTTTCCACCACGATTCTTATTTCCTTTAATATGTTTTACGACTTATTCATGAGTTTGAAAAATATTGATCAAAAGAAATCGAGACAACCTCTTTTATTTTTCTCTCAATGCGTCAGCGGGTAGTACCCGACAAATCCTGCGATATGATTGGTTCCAAGAGCGAGAGGTATTCTCCCATAGCGGAAGGTATACATTGCGTGATGAGTCGACGAGAACATCCATCGTCTCGTTGCAATTTTCATAGATGAACTCGCTGGTTACAGAAATTTTGCAATTTAGAACCCCCGTTGCGAAAAAGAACAGCACATTATTCCAACTAAGTTGCCCATCTTTACACTTCGTGTATGCAGAGGGAATCAAAACGTGACATAAAAAAGCGTGAATAAAGACAACGATATCGGAGCAGACAATTCTCCTGCTTGTCAAAAAGTCAGCCAGTCACCCAGTCAGCCTGCAAGCCAGCCAGCCAGTCGGCTGGTAAGTCAGTTGGTTGGCCAATCTGGCAGACCTTCCATCAGTAAACAAGCCAGCTAGTCAGTCAATCAAACTGCAAGCCAGTCTGAAAACTCAGTAACGAGGCAGCCAGCCAGTTGGCTGGTCGGTCAGTCAGTCAGTCAGTCCCTCCCTCAGTCAACCACCCAGCCAGTCAGCCAGCCAGCCAGCCAGTCAGCCAGCCAGTCAGCCAGCCAGCCAGACAGTCAGCCAGCCAGCCAGACAGTCAGCCAGCCAGCCAGCCAGCCAGCCAGCCAGCCAGCCAATCAGTCAGTCAGTCAGTCAGTCAGTCAGTCAGTCATTATACTGTAGCACATGATGAAACTAAATGACTTACATGAGTTCCAAGAAGACAGGCCCTATGCCAATTTGCATCTTGACTCAGTTTATCCATGCATGTGCAAGGACAGGCACACAACAAAAATCACTCATCAATATGAACAGCTACTAGCCACATAGCAAATTAGAGGTTTGATCTCCTCATGTATTAAAGTCCTATCCTACATGAAAAGTAAAAATTAATATTTAGCGAGTGTAAATATAATATTTGAATCTATGAGCCTCTCAATTAGTACCAAAAATTTAAGACCTGTAAACACCAAAAATCAAAAAAACGTGAAGCCTCAAAATACTAAAAAGATGTTTAACTTATCACCCTGAATAAAAGAAAACCCAAAAAAGCCTTGAACTTCAAATTATAGTAAAACCCTGAATCCATCCACCTGGGAAAACCAAAAAGACTTAAGCATAAATTTAAAAGTCTTCAAGTGAAAAAGTAAATACATTAAATAAGTTCTGTTAAAGCACTTGTTGGAACAATTTAATGTGGTCCACTCAATTTAACAGTACTATAGTAAAAACAAACAAACAAAAAAACTCCAGTCATACCTCCCAAATTAAAAGGGTTGTGAGCCAACAGCTTAGTGAAAGAACTCCTTGCATATCCACTAGCATCTAGGATGACAACATAGAGCCAACTTCACCCACATCCATATATTTAAAATTTGATAGAAAACCATGAAACTGAAAAATAAGTCACCTTTCATTTACTCAACTCAACTCAATTTTTCCTTTAAATTCGTTCTTCTGCGGCGAGTGTAGCCTTTGCTTGGTGCTGTCTCGATTAAGGCTTGTGTAGACTTTAGGCTACCTTTGCCTCCCAGAAGCCACAATATTATGCAACCTTTGACAACTGTAAAATAAGAAAGCAGGGGTTGGTAAGTGACAATTGCTGGTGTATTCTGGTGCCATTGCCTTGCAGTCAATGATCAAGAAAAAGCTAACATCTAGACAACCTACTTGGATCAAGAACGAAGATAAAAGAATGTTAAAACGTACTTTCCATTCAAGTGAAATCAAATTGAATTTCATTCACGACGGTAACTACAGCAAGATTTGAAATAGAAATCATTGTTGTTGTCAGTCATCATCAATCTCCTAATACTCTTCACTGTCATTTCTTGGCTCAATATGTTCTACTGTCATTCAATCTTAAATAAATACACTCTATTAAATTATAACATTCAACACTCTTTAATGGGAACAAATTGCATTCTATCAGTGTCACAGTAGCTTACTTTGACCTTATTTATTTGCCTCTCTAGGTACAATGTAAGTAGCCCATGCAGCCAAAGCTCTTCCAAAAGCTTTACAAAAACAATACATTAACCCTAGCTAGGTCTTGAGGCCTTCATTTTTCATTTATAGTCCAGTTGGCTGGCCAACTACTTGTACTGGTTGTCCAGTATTTCATAACAGTTACTGGTATATTGCACTGCCCCATTTGTTTGAAGGTTGGACAAAACTATCCACCAGACAAACTGCTAATTAATTTTCTGGATAATAACATCTGGGATATTGCCCCATCTAGCCTTCTAAAACCTCAGATCTGATCTAACACTTGATTTAGGGCTTCGCATCAAAGTACAACAGGAAAGACAGATCCTTAAAGGAAACAGTCCACAATTTCTTCAATGAATACTTGTTGTGAGTGACTATTTGAGTAGACATGTCCCTCCATAACAAGTAGTGGCATTGACTGAAAAGAAAATTAAGGAAAGGCTCAAATTAATAAACCTTATTCCCTGGTTTAATATATAATAGGCTCTTATTTTTTAAGCAATGAGCAAAATGTCTGGTTGTATTATATGTTAAACCATCATCATCATCAGCAGTTCATCGCAGGCGATGTTGACTGAGAATTGGTTAAGTGCTGCAGGAGTGTTGATGCACTAGATCAAAGTACATCATGTGCATATGTAGTGCATATGTTACACCATCAAATAAGTGATTATTAATCCACTACAGATTCACTTTTTTCAGTTTTTGGATTTCAAACTAAATCCTACTACATTATCTGTATTGCATCAATCACATTACACAAGCAAAACCATTAAAGTGTTTTTTTATGACTAACACAAAAATTTGAAGCCCTCACAAATTTGTTGCTCTAAAAGTCAAGCAAAAAAATGTAATAAAACAAATTTGGATTGTTCAGTGCAGCCTTTTTGTTACTATCCTTTTCATCTGCATTTTTACCATAGTCTACTGTGAAGTACAGTATGACCTTGTGCTTAGAAAACGTGTTTCTAAAAAGAAAGAAACTTAACCCTTATGGAGTATCCAGTGATTAAAAGTGTCACATCCATGTGCAGCAAGACTCATTCTGTCACAATTTTACTAGAGTGCCATCAGTCTAAGGGATTCTTCAATAAAACTTTGCAGAGCCTTAACAACAAAAGTGCCACCTTCCCCAAACTAAGTTTAGTTTAAAAAAAGTAATTTTCACAATGGTCTCTAAAATGAGTGGAAACAACCATATTCTTGTCAAGTCCTTAAGAAACCTAACTAACACTAAGTTCTTTGCAAATTATTGCCTCCATCTTCAGAAATAAAACCAGAAAAATGCAGAGCATCATACCCACTCTTGCCTTGCTAAATTAATAGTTAATTATCAACCAAATATCACTGTTTTTGATTACAAACAAAATATGAATCTTAATCTGACTGCATAGAAATGTCTAGTAGCTTAGAAATATAATTAAGATTAAATTTTTTCCCAAGAACCAGGTAACCCTTTAAACCAGTAAAATGTAACCCTTATCAAAAGATCACCTTACAGTTTGTACAAAAACACGATCTTCACAATATCTATAGACCCCTCATGACACCTTATCTACAGTCACATGCTTCTTACTCTACAGTGAGTACTTTGCTGATTCATTTACTTTTGTGACTCCACTTATCTATGCACACAATCTCCTTATTTACTACTGCAAAGTTTGATATTTTACCATGAAAATTCTCTTGTTATGAATGTTTACCTAATTTGATGTGATAGCATGATACCTACACCCTGGTAATGGTACTCAAAAATTTTTAACACTTGTCCACCACTCTCATTCCTATGATACAATCTCCTCAGCAATAAACATTCTCTGCACTAAATGTACCAGATTGTATGGAATGGAAAGCTATTACAGCTGAGATACATAAAAAAGCCAGTTAAAGGAAAATCATAATCATTTAATCATAACCAAAATAATCTATTATATGATTGATCAATCATTCAATTAATCACCAATCATATAATCAATTTCACGTACTTGTATCTGCATCCCTTTTTATAAAATAAATGATAATGTAAAACTTTCTATACACAGTGTTAAAGAGACGAGTCTTTACACACACAACACTGTGAAAATAATGTACCCTAGATTTTCGAGTCAGTCTTTTGAAATTTTTAAAGATACTTCTAGAGGGCATTGGGATGGACCAATAGATGACTAATATATGCAAATGCAAGATAATTCAATCCCTTGTGTGTAAGCGATAATAATTTGCTGCTCCACAGGGTGCCAGTGCAAGTACATTTAAATCAGACTTGTAAGCTGAGAGCCCTAAACTGTTTAGTAACAAGGCACACAGTGCAGTTTTTCAAATGTACTGAAGCAAAGCAAGTTACAGTTGTTTAAATGACAGGTAATTCTTTGAACATCACCAAAGTAAGATCAAATATAAGTTCAATCAGTAGATATGATGTCCATACCATTATAGCTGAAATTATAGCTAAGGATTCCAGGTACTTTGGGTGTAACTTTGATAAAGCAACCAATATACAGCAACTTTCTCAAGACTGCTCTTAAGCTTTCATTTGATTTCTTTCAAAACTTTCTTTCCCAAAATTTGAGTTACCAAACTTGGGGTGCCGCTCATCTTTGAGTGCAGCTTACTTGCCAGTGTTTACAATACCTGTCTTATTCCTATCAATATCTGAAATGACATAATTATACTCTCTGACTGAAGCAGTCTTGGTACTACAAAATGTCCTATATGCTGAGGGAAAGATTTCACCTAGACAAGCTGTTGCAATTGTCAGTGATCAATCAATTGTGAAGCTACCACTTTTCAGTAAGTTGAGACATAAGCATGAAGTTGGAGATGAGATGGAAGTTAGCACAATGTTTTAACCTTACTGATTTGCGCGATGTGCTGATTTGAGGCTGTTCCAAGGCAATAGAAGGTATAACAACTGAAAAGAGCACAGCCTTTCATTGGGATCACCAGGGAGGGGACATTGCGTGACGCTAAACCCAAAGGATCCACTGAGGGATCTACAGTGAGTTTCTGCCCCATACGAGAAAACTACATCGACTGTCACGCCTAAAAGAGCTCCTATTACAACAACAACATTACGTGTCCAGAGGTACCCAGATTTAAATTTTCAAATTTGCGGCAATACTCCTTCACAAAATATCGGAATAGTTCACCACTCTTAAGCCAACTAAGCCAATAATATCAAATATTACACTGATAAAATAAATTTAAAAACTATAGTTTTTTTTTTAAGTTTCTTTACCTACCTTTTGCTGTCAATTGACATCTGGCATGCACTTGGGCAACATGGTCTTCATATCTGTTTTGCGGCCTCTCATCCTTCCATTTTATATTTAAATATCAGTAAGCAGAGGAAATTTGCCGAGAAGCTGAGGGGCTCTTTAGTTCCGGGCCTTGTGCCAAAGCAAGCTGCCATTTCCCTGCAGACTTCTCACAATATCTACCGCCATGTCCCGCCATGATGAAGTGAACCAGTCTTTTCCCCAGCTCTCCTCCCTAACGAGGAAACGCGCACGTTTCACGAACAACAATGCGCGAAAACGCGGTAAATTGCGGATACTGCGCGGAAACACGTAAGCTTTTTCGGACTTTCGAGGAAAGGGCTCCTCATAGTCATGTAGGGAGAATTTCCATCATTTTCCTTACTACTTCTAATATAAGAATATTTACTTTGGAAAGGTAAGGAATAAGGTTCAACGTTTACTAAGTTACCAAGTCAAGAATATCTGCCGTTTTATCTTTCAGACTTCAGAAGTGAAAAAGCGTGTATAATAATCATGATTTTTCATATTACATTCATTTTGAAATCACTGGTGATCCTTGTGATCTGAATGGCTGTCATTGGTGCAATTTATTCAAGAATGGCACCTTTTTTGTTTTGAGTCGCATCTTTTTCCCAGCCAAAAAGGAAGCTTTATTAAAAGACAACCAATTGTTGGTTTAAAAAAACCAATCAATTTGCCTGAAAATGAAAACAACTTTTGCAACTTTCTACAAACTAGCTCACTGATGGATTAACAAAACATTTGTACAGACTTAAAACTCTTGAATCTGAGCGAATTAAAAAATGGATGAAATAAAGTGAAAATAAATTCATTGATAAATTCCTTGGATTAAAACCACATAGAACACGCAAACATTGCAAAACATCACAAAATAGATTTTCCACCGGCATTTCATGTAGCACAGGAAAAGGAAAAGGACACAAGTAAGATTTTAAGAAGTGAACAAGGATTTCTGATTAGACAGCTAAAGACCAAATTTAACTTCCAAAATTTTCTTGACGTAACAAAAGCTGATAAGACATTGAACCACGCAAATACGTTGTTACAAATTATCCTACTAAAGAACGTGACAGCTTGTTCTTGTCTTCGACCGAATTTACAAAAGAGAAATTCAGAGCAAATCGGTCCAAATTTTCCCGCCAAAGTCTATACGAAAAAATTTTCTATAGCTTTTTTTAATTAGAAACAAGACAACATTTCCTGTGTGTATTTGCATTTGTCAACAAAATTGTAACAAAAATGCCTCAAAATGATAAAAATGGTATTCTAAAGGTGGTTGTAGGTGGTTTCAGGTGGTTTCAGGTGGTTTTAGGTGGTTCAGGTGGTTGTAGGTGGTCGTAGGTGGTTGTAGGTGGTTTTGGTTGGTTCAGGTGGTTTTAGGTGGTTGTAGTTGGTTTTTGGTGGGTTTGGGTCATTCCATGTTTTTGCAGCTACCTGCGTTTTGTACCCGTTGGAGAGAACACATCAGCGCTCGATCACATCGCAACCTTCCTCGTCCAGGCTGGTCTCTCAAGGCGGCCCTGTCGACTCACTGATGGCTTCATTTCAAGAGGACCCCGAAGGTAAGATGTTTTGTGTAGAGAGTAATTTCAAATGTTGAATTAGGGCTCTTACGATGGCGGCGACTTTGCCTGAATGTATTACATGTTTGTTCTAAATCGCCAAGGTGGCTTAGCGGCTAACCATTTCTGGAAGTTTGGGTGTACTTCATATGAATTCGCCTTATTCTTGACATTTCAAATATTTTGTTGCTCGACTCACGGCCACGGTTTCACAAAGACTAAATGCCTGGCAATCTGAGATTTTTATCTACCTGGGTAGCGTTTGAACACATTCTATCTTTTCGAATTGTCTAACAATTACAAAACAATCAATGGTCATATACAGTTCAGCTGGTATTTGAAAATCGTATCAAGAAATGGTCCATTCCTGTGCCTCAACTTTTCTATCAGCTTTTCCGATGAGCGTTACACAATAGTCCTTTTGTCCTGGATAACGCTGAGGGAATCTAGCCGAAGCTAAACGGAAAAGTTCGCAACTCATCGGAATTCATGTCGGCAATAACAATTAAGCTGCACTGTGGAAGTGGGTAAGGTAAATTTGCACTCGTCGGTGTTGCCATCGAATTGATGATAATGCGCTCAGTAAGTTTTTAAGTTTGCCATAAGCGAGCGCGAAGGTGCGACTTTTTTCCCTAAAGAATAACAGATATCGCGCCCGTAATTCTTTTTCCCAAAACCTGTCATAGTTTCGAAATGAATTGTTCTTAGCATTTCAAGACTAAACAATTCACTATTTGAATCCAAACGAACGCTCTTATCGTTTTTCCCTGGCACTGGCTCTGACTCTCTTGTGCTTCTTTATTGTCGACCGCGCGGCACTTTGTGTCACTTTTATTCCTTGAAGCAACAAACGAAGTCTTTCGCGTGTAAATCTCGAGTGAAGCCTGTCATAAAGAAAGAAACAGACTCGTGATTTAATAACCCTTTGAATGTAGCCTGCATCGCAGACGTAATCTAACCCCGACAAGTAACTCAACAAGGGGTTTGGTTTAAGGGGGTAAGTTTCTAAAGAAACTGTGATACTGCGTCGGTGGGAGAGTATAGCAGGTAATTTAGTGTTAACAACTGGGTTGAAAACATAAATTAGCCACCGTGAAGGGTAAAAAAGCTGACGTTTCGAGCGTTAGGGGTTTGGTTTAGTTTGGTTCCCTCTAAAATTGTCGAAGATAGATGGACTGCGAACGCAACAGTTTATGATTGCAACGGCAAGTGCTTTGCTTCCCGGGACAAGCAATCCGATTCCAAACAGAAGATTTGCGACACAGGTGATCAACAGAAACATGGACCTGACATGAATACAACGCTCCCCCAAAAAACGTTTCATCAGTTACTTGCACGAACCTCTCGGCAGCATTCCACTTACTATCAATAATTACAAGAAAATAAGAGTATTCAGTCAAGTGGACAATTAAGAAAATTAATCTCACTATACTGCCTGGTCAGGACATCCAGTTTTAAACTTCCTGACGTTTTCTCTCGTATCCAAGTTTACGGACATCCTGAATGCTAAAAAGATGATCGTAAGAGGAGGAAGCATGGGGGTGGGGGGCTGAGTTAGGTGCGGAATTACGTAAAATTGATTCAGTGCTTGAAAGAACAAGGCTTGTAACATATGCGCTGTTTTATTCTTCTTTTGTTATTTTATCAGATGTAAATGAGCAGTAGGTGGCTTTCTGAAATCTTAATGATACGACCCCACTCCACCCCTAGAGAGTGGGGTAGAGGGTTGCGTTGTTCGCTGACTGTTGACTTTTTCTTGGAACTACACTATTGCTTACTGAAATATTCATAAATTGATTTTGCTTTTGCCAAACACCTTATTAGTGCCCGCACTCAATGTTCTGAACCTAGCTGAATTATTCTGATTCCCCTCTCCCAATTTTACTGAACATGTAGTTTGATTTTCAGCAATTGTATCTATATCCATACCTTCTTCTGATGAAGATGAAGCTGGTAAGTAATTATGGCAAATGTTACTTCCGCTTCTTGGATATTCAGCAGAGGATATGAGAAGGAGAACAAATGGGGGCTGCTTAATTGGAAAAACTGGGCTTCTAATTTGATAGAAAAAAAAGAGACAAATAATTCTGATTTCCACATAATTCTAGCGATTAAGCAGGGAATCTAAGAAAGTTCCAGTGGGGTAATGGCAGGAAAACTAGCATGTCCGCATAAGTTTATGAAATTTAGCAATTTTTTTAAACTTATGATCTTTTCCTTTCAGACTTTGTTGGATATCTTCCAAGTAAAGCTCTTAAGGTATGTATATCTTCATTTAAATATTGCAGGGTATGTGGACTGCTACACTTTTTAGCCAGTAATTGATATATCAGCAAAAAATGCCAGGATCATTCACTAGAAGGTTAACATTTTACGGGTTTTTTGAGGTGGGGCCACTTCAGTGCATGAGTTTACGATTTAAATGTTCATTTTATTAACCCTAACTCTTACTTTTCTTGATTTAGTTAGAAGAACCCACAAATTCAGAGAAAAATAATTTTACACAGAGGGACAGTCAAGTCAGGTACCCACGTGTTTTATAAAATAGTAGGTTATTTGGTTATTTCATAAACAACCAGTTCATTGTCTTAAATGACCTGTTGGTAACCTTGCTTTACTAGGCACTGCCATCGCTGATACAATTCTATTCGTGCAGAAACCACTAAATCTGTTACAACATCGTAAAAGATTTGCCCTGAAATCTCAAAGTTGTTCTTCAAAGACTTGTTGCCGACATGGAAATATCTTAATTCAGTGTACTGCTAATAAAAAAAATTGAAGGAAGAAAATCACTAGTAAAAAACTCTTTTTCAACAAGTCTTGAAAGCTATAGAATCGTCGAAACTTTTGGCTCGGATTGGCTAGCTAGATGTTGCCGCGAACGGTGACCAACCATTTGCAATATGAAACTTTTAATCCACGAAGGCTTTGAGTTAACTCGCAAAAAATTTTAACTTAACACTAAGACCAAAAAATCGAGAAACTAAACGTGATAGTGAGGTTTCAACTCGGTGGCCTCGTGGCACCGTTCGAGGATGCCCACCACCGCGCATGCACACAAAAAAACTGAAATGTCCCGTATGGGTACCCAGGCAATGGCTGGGCGTCGACCAGCTGCTACACTAGCAGCTCATTCTCATTCCCTCATTGACCCTCATTATATGATGTCCTATTACATTTCAGGGAAGAACAATTGCTGGGGGAAACTGATCACGAAACAATTCTTAACACCCTTCTTCAAAACCCCATAGAACTGAACTTAAAAGAGAAGCCTTCAGCCATAAGGGAAAACAAACTTTTCACCCTAGACATGAGGGAAATCCCCATATCCTCAGTGGAAGCAGAAGATAATGGTGCATATATATCAAAAGGTAATGCCAAGAGACTATTCCAGTACAATAGCAAAGGTTCCCGCACTGTTCACAAAAATGAGAACGGAGCATTTTATGCAAACGTCAAAACCTCTAAAGGCTACAGAAAGGAGTATATCCCTGAAAGTGAAGTTTATGAACTGACGAGGTATTACAAGACCAGCAAGTTCAATCCCCAGTTTTCACGTACAATTGCCACCGTCAAGGCCATAACAGATAAGGAACTCAAACCATTTTACCTTGTTCTGTACAAATGGGCAAGAGGAGAAAGTAAAGAATTCTTTCTTCCGCGCCATGGGAACGCCAAAAAGCCGACTTCATCAGCATATTTTCGCAAAGACCCTTGCACATCTACAGCCATAGATAACTTGTTGGATGAGGGTATGCCTACAGATACAGTTTATAATACCTTGATCAATGAAAAGACAACCACCGTCAGCGAGACAATACCAGGCCCAAAGATGTTTGAGAATAGAAAATACAAGAATATGAAGGCCACATCAACCAAGACCACACTGAAGCGTAATGAAGCGGAAACACTGATAACAAGTTTGCACACTCTGCCTCTCAACAGCAGTGTTACCTTCACAAAAGAACAATATATCTCAGTCAACTCGTCTCCCAACATGCTGAATGACATACATCGATTCTGCGTTCTTGGAAACAGTATACTGAGAATCGATACCAATTTTGAGTTGGTCGATGGCCTATGGCTAACAGATACTACATACACGAACGAGTCCTTAATCGACCAGAGCAACAAGCATCCTGAATTCCCCGGTCCAAGCTTCTGGCATTTCAAGAAGAGTCGAGAGAGTTATCGAAGATTCGCTGGTGAACTCATCATTGCTAAACCAGAATTGTTAGGAATAAAGAAGATTGGCCATGATCTTGACAAAGCTATTGCTGGTGGTATGACTGACATCTTGAAGGATGCAGACAATGTTTGGTGTACGCAGCATAGTCAGGAACGTGACGCCCTCAAACTTAAATCCCTTGGCGCAAATGAAAGATCAAGGAACAGAATCATGACTGACATCTATGGGTCCCAGGATGATGTCCTACTACACAATGGCTTGGCAGACACAGATGACCCAGAGGACTTCCAAATTAAATTGGCACGTTTGGAGACTGTCTGGGAGAGCTTGGTGCCGGGGTTCCACCGATGGTTTACAAAGCATAGGTCGGAACAATTCAAGACTTGTCTTGTCCTATCTGCCCGTCAGAATCTGGGTATAACTGGTAGGTTCTACACCAATGGTTTAGAACTCAAACACCGACTTCAGAAAAAACGTCTTCGAGAAGATGAGATTCCAGAGGAGGTCGCCAATGTCACATCAATGCTGGAGAAGTGGACAACGGAATTCTACCTTGAGGAAGAAAGGGCTGTTTGTGGTTTGGGAAAGTATAGGCTTTCTCTTGGGTACGAACAGTTTCAAGTCGATCCAGTGAAGTGGAACAGGTGGAGCCTAGAAAGGCAAGCTCAACACCTATCAGCATTGCGTAACTTCACACCGAAGTCATATGACATGTATAAGAAACCCATGGTTACTGGAATTAAGTCATCTCCACAGAGTAAAAGAAGGAGAGTCCAACCAGAAATCTTCACCGACAGAGTTGAAGTTGGTGATGACACACCTCAAGCAGTCACCCCTATTCGAATCACAAAGAGTGATGACAAGACAAAGTGGCAGGTGAGAGGAACTCTGACTGCATTTGTTTATATCTATAAATGTGGCAAGCAGACTTAGATGTTGGGACTAAAATTTACTGGGTTAATGGTGCAAACTCAAAGACCAACACAAAACTTGGTGGGGGTCACGTTGGTCATACAAGTGAAGAATGCCAGAGTTTAGCTCATACTATATAGCGAGCAATTCACAATCCTGGGATCCACTAGCCAAAAAATAGGCATTGTTATTAGATCTGGGATTTCTACAAGGGTAATTTTTCTCTCCTACAGACAAACAGATACATATGCAGACTGAGGTTTAGGTTTGTTACTCATCAGGTTCAATTTAATTTCATAGGTAGAGAAAAGTACAAATGCAGCTACTGAAGCAATGAACTTCCTTGACCCTGACAGGATATCGGGAAATCAGTACGAGCTTGTAAGCAGAGATGATGAAAAGCTTTGCCCCAAAAGTGTCCAACGCTGTGAGCAATGCAGGGTGGCTTTTCATCAGGCGGATAAGGTTGTCGTCAAAAGTGTTAGAGTGCGGGAACGCACTGATAAGTCAGGAAAGACAGTCAAATATACCGGTAATCTTTACCTGCATTTTCTAACCAAATGCCTCTCTGAATATGACCAGAAATTCGCCTTTTCTGCTATAACGGTCCCCACACGCACCCTTACATTTCTACCTGAAGGAGGAAGGGCAATACTAGAGGCCAAGGGGTTGTATGTGGAGAAGTAACTCGCGTGTGCACCTCAAGCATTTTTCAGTAAGAAATTATTTACAAATCATTTCATTAAGCTGTTTCAGTTAAACATTTTGTAAAAGAAAAAACAATGTTATTACCCTTAACATTGGGACAAGCTACTTGGCATTATCAATTTTATCTTCTTCATATTCGGGGGTTCGCTAGAGAAAAAAAGAGTTTATGGTATTTGTTTAAGAAAGACATTGAATTACTACAAGGATGTGTTAGTAAGTTTTGTTCAATTTTTGCAGCCACACAATGTCGTAATCTTGACATGAAATGAAATAAATGTGAAAAACACCAAATTTTCCCTTTAGAGTTGTTGCTATTTTCCAAAAGTTTTTAACAAATGAGTACATATATAGTGAAACTTAGAATGAAGCAACGGTTCCATGCCAATCATGCTCGGGGTATTTAGGTTGATGAAGATATTTACTTGTTAACGGTTTTCAGATGTTTTGTTATGTTCTGTGAATTAAAGAATGCGTTGCTACGCTGTAAACTTAAAGTTTTATTTCTTTGTTGCATTTGCTGTCTACTGATAAAATCAAATCAAACCATTCCAGGGTTATCGGTGCAATTAGAGGACTAAAAGGCCCTAACCATACAAACAATATTGATTCCATTTCCGAGAGCGCATGTCAGCGAAGAGTAGACACAGCTGTTTACTTTGTGGACCTCTGAATAGGCAAACAGCACCCTTCACCCGATCCCATGGCAACTTCCTCATTTCGGTAGAATATTTTAAACAATATATAGATTTAGCCAAGCTTAAAACCGGAACTGCACAATTTCTGCTTGTTTTTAGTAATTCTGAAAATACTTGAGCGGTCAGCGGCCATCATCCAAATTACGTGGGCTCTATGAGTTCTATGCGATGTAAGTTGACGTTAACCTTTATACTCCAAAATTGATTGGCCTTGATTTAAAATTAAAGGTTCAGGTTAGCGTCAACTTACATCATTTATATGAAACAAGGTAGCCGCTAACCACCGAGGTCAAGTGATTTTTAGAAGGTGGCCGCTGATCAGTCGTTAATGTTGTTAATGTTTCAAATGGATCGCAGGCTCAAGTATTTTCAGAAATTATTTAAACGTTAACAAGCAGAAAATTTGGAGCTCCGCTTTTAGGCTTGTCTTAATCTTTATATTAGTTCTCTGATACCTAACAATACAAAAACAAAATTCTAAGTGGCCATGGAATTTAATGTTTCTGAAGGTAGTTGTAGGTGGTTTCAGGTGGTTTTAGGTGGTTGTACACGTGGTTTTAGGTGGTTATAGGTGGTTTTGGTGGTTGTAGGTCATTCCATGTTTTAGTGTTTCAGCAAAGTTTAGACGACTGCCAGGGAACTTGCCAGTCACACGTACCCAGTTTGATTAGAAAATGCTGTTTCGCATTTGTCGTCGGCCAATAAGGCAAATAATCTCAACTATCCCGTCTGTTTGGAAAAAAATAGACTTCAGAATGATAAAAAACACTTGCTATGCAATATTGAACTGATTGAGGCGTTCTGTTTTTGTTCAATATACTCTCGCGTAACTGTTATTTGCATATCTAAGCCGTCACTCCTTTATTCAGAGCACGTGGTCGATAGAAAGGTAACTTTACCAACTATTCTTTAGAGAACAAAAAGTCGTTAATTGTATACCTTCTTAAGAGAGTCTAAATTGAAGACGTGACTCTTACGGTAAACATCTTGAACAGAAATTTTGGCAAGTTCACGGTTAATATTACACTTTTAATATTACACTTTTAATATTAAAAGAATTAGAACTAGTTGCAATCGTTTTTAAGTCATATCCTTTCAGTATGAATACAAACTAAGTTATTATCGGAGTGATCTGACAAAAGGAATTCTATCGAGTCATCAGTTACTGTAAGGATAGGCCAAATCGGAGTGAGCGAGTAACACAAACCCCCGCTATGCGTGAGCAAAATCAGAAAAAGGTAAACATGGTCACTTTTCGTTTCCTCTTATTTGGGCTCTGATCTTTTTGTTCCCAAAACAAATCAATATCTAGCTTCTCCTTGCAATATCCAATTTCTTTATTTTCTTTCCTTCTTCAACCCATGTCAACACTCCACAAAATCTTCTATAAGGATGAAAATGAGAACCAAGACTGTATGCGCAAACTGTATTTTCAAGTCATTACGATCAGTAGAATTCAGTGTCACGTATTTCATAAAAGATCTATCGGTATGTGTCGAAGTACTCATTTATTCCACTTCTTTATTTCTGGTTACGACTATTATGGTTGAGTCATTTTCTATAGTCTTTTAATTCAGGCAGTAACTCAAAGGAATGACTGTATTACTGGGAAACACTTATATGAAGAGGTTGTGATGCCTGCACAGCAATCTTTTTAAAGCAAAATTTCCTGCGAACATTTTCAACTTTAACCACTTTTTAAAGGGAACATCGATGGTTTCGTGTTACGCTATATGAGGACATTTAGCCAGGTCTGTTAAGTTACATCATCAATGTACAAGTTCATGGTAAAGCAGTAGGTAAGAACCTTTTTAACTCGTGGACGTGCGTAAATTAAACCGATATGAATTTATACTAGAAACAATAACAACTTGATTAAATGTCGCTACAGGAAGTCTGTTTAAAGTCCAGTAATAAATCTGCAAATATAGAATATTTCTGATTCTTGTGAGATTTGGCAGAATTAAGCCGAATGATAAAAACAGGCAACAGCAGAAAAAAATATTCATCTGCTAAGGTGTCAGTTGACTTAGAAAAGCGTTCAATTTGATGTTTTTGACGAAGGGTCGATGTAATGTCTGTGGACGGCCTCCTTTTTTCGGCATTAATTCCTGAATGGAAAAAGCTGGGTTTAAGTGTGTGAGATATGTGAGTTCAACTTTTGATATAACACAAGACGAGGATCTGCAGGAGAGAAAGGACCCCTCCCTTAGCTAATTTGACAATACTGAGAGAACAAGGAATCAAGTCTAATGAAAAAGGGTAGAGGCGACAACGAGAAAAAAAAAAGTTTATTATATTAAAGATACGAAGAAGAACATTAGTTGTCATGTAGCACAATTGTTTGTATTGTGGTAAGAGACTATAAAATGGATGCAACTATCTATATCCGGCCGAAACACACCAAAGGTCGGTTACCACTAACAACTAAAACAAGTGGCAATATTACATACTTCATAGAGTTATGATGGAGGGTATAAACGTAGTACTGCATTACACTCTTAACACAAGTTCCACTATTATCTACAGCTTTTAACTACGAGTAAAATAATCTTCATTATCCATATTTGTTCATTGATTTATTCTATATTATATCTTTTACCAATGTATTTATTTTGTTAGTTCATTTACTTATTTCTCCACTTAATGCTATTCAATCCCCTCCAAGGTTCGTTTTATTTGAATAATTTTTTTATCGAACAAAAATTTAATTTCGTATTGTTTTGCATTGCTTGCTTTTATTTTAAGTACTTTCGTTATATAGGGAGCTCAATCTTGTCACCATCATGCGCACTCCTTTACATTTACTTATTCAATTACATATTTATTTAATCATTTGTTTATTTATCTACCAACTATTTCACTTAATTACATATTTCTAACCACCCTCACAGTTTTTTTTGTTTACTATGGTTTCAATTTGTTGTTATTCCATGAATGGATTGAGATTAGTTTTATAGTCTGGAGAATCAACGGGCATTTTAAGAGTTACACCATGTAACACTAAATGTTCACAATTCTCAGAGTGTGCAAAACACTAGTAAAATTATAGAACTTCAGAAAACTTTAGACACTAACGAAAAAATAAACTAAAGAGAATCGTACGAATACACAGGATACTAACGAAACAATTGGAATTTAAATTTAGGCAGGGTGCTGGACTTACAAACGAAATAATCGAGCTAAAGAGAACACTCGCAGTGCGCTAGATACTAACAAATCAGCAGAACTAAAATGAATTCTAAGAGTGCACGAGATATTAACGAAACAATAAATTTGAAAAGCATCTTTACAGTGTGCAAGAGATTATTGAAACACTTAAACAAAAAGAAATCTTCAGCGCGCACGAGAAACTAACAAAACAATAGAACGATAGAGACTACTTAAAGTACGCAATATCCTAACAAAATAAACGAAAAAAGGAATCATCAGAGTGCGTAAGGCACTACCGCAACAGTCAAACTAAGGAGAATCCTTAGAGGGTGCGAGACACTAATGCAACAGTCAAACTAAAGAGAATCCTTAACGTGCAAGAAATACTAACGCAACAATCAAAATAAAGAGAATCCTTAGAGTGCGCGAGACACTAGCGCAACAGTCAAACTAAAGTGAATCCTTAGCATTCACGAGACACAAACGCAACAATCAAACTAAAGAGAATCTTTAGAGTGTGCGAGACACTGACGCAACAATCAAACTAAAGAGAATCCTTAGCGTGCACGAGACACAAACTTAACAATCAAACTAAAGAGAATCCTTAGAGTGGGCGAGACACTAACGCAACAATAAAACTTAAGAGAATCCTTAGTGTGCACAAGATAAACACAACAGTCAAACTAAAGAGAATCTTTAGAGTGTGCGAGACACTAACGCAACAATCCAACTAAAGAGAATCCTTAGAGTGCGTGAGACTCTAACGCAACAATCAAACTAAAGAGAATCCTTAGAGTGCGCGAGAAAATAACGTAACAATAAAACTAAAGAGGACCCTTCGAGTGCGCTAGATACTAACGCAACAGTTAAACTAAAAAGAATCGTTACTGTGCGCAAGATACTGTTGCAACAGTTAAACCAAAGAGAATCCTTAGAGTGCGCGAGATACTAACGCAACAATCAAACTAGAGAGAATCCTTAGAGTGCGCGAGACACTAAGGCAACGGTCAAACTAAAGAGAATCCTTAGAGTGCGCAGGATACTAAGGCAACCATCAAATTAAAGAGAATCCGCAGAGTTTGCTAGATACTAACGCCACAATCAAAATAAAGAGAATCCTTAGAGCGTGCGAGACACTAACGCAACAATCAAACCAAAGAAAATTCTTAGAGCGCACGAGACACAAACGCAACAATACTAAACTAAAGAAAATCCTTAGAGTGCGCGAGACACTAACGCAACAATCAAACTAAAGAGAACCCTCAGAGAGCGCCATTATAAATCGAGCTGGTGATAACCGATCACGTTCGAGAATTTTGTTACAGTTTTCATTAACTCAACAATCTCACTAAAGAGTGTCCTCAGATTGCGCGAGACACTGACGCACAATCAAACTGAAGAGAATCCTCGGAAAGCGCGAGATACTAACTCGAAAATCAAACTAAAGAGAATCCTTTGGGTGCTCGAGGTACGAACGCAACAATCAAACCAAAGAGAATCCTTAGCGCGCACGAGACACAAACGCAACAATACTAAACTAAAGAAAATCCCTAGAGTGCGAAAGACACTAACGCAACA